CCCACTGGAGCCCAGCAGTGTGGGCCTGGCCAGTACCTGGAGGGCAGACTGCTGGGAGAGGTGTGAGTGGGGCCAGTAGGGGGCGCTCTCACCCAGCTCACAGTCCCACTGGAGCCCAGCAGTGTGAGCCTGGCCAGTACCTGGAGGGGAGACTCCTGGGAGAGCTGAGGCTGCTGCTGGGAGAGGTGTGAGTGGGGCCAGCAGGGGGCGCTCTCACCCTGCAGTCTGTGTGGGTCCTCATGCCTCAGTATAATGACGGGGGACACTACACTGTAAACAGGCGCCGTCCTTCAGATGAGACGTCAAACCGAGGTCCTGACTCTGTGTGGTCATGAACAATCCCAGGGTGTCTCTCGAGAAGAGTAGGGGTGTCACCCCAGTGTCCTGGCCAAACTCCCCCCTGGCCTTTACCCCTCATGGCCTCCTAATAACCCCCCTCTCTGAACTGGCTCCATCCCTCTGCTCTCCTCCCACTGAGAGCTGGTGTGTGTGAGAGGACTGGAGCATCATCCAGGTGGGGGTGCAGGGGATCCCCAGGAGCTGTAGAGAGCTCTGAGTGGGGTGTGCAGGCAGGCGCTATAGAGGTGTGAGGAATTACTGTCCTTATCACCACAGTAAACTACAGTCCTGTCCCGGTGTGCTCCACACCTGGAAAGCTCTTTGAGTGGGGTGTCCAGAACGGCGCGGCAGAGGTGTGAGGATCAAGATGAGGCGGAACGAAACGGCGACGTCCACGTCCCTCAGTCCGGCCAGCGAGAGGGCCCCCCGGGCGCCGCTGACCTCTGCCACCTGCCCCCTCCTGGCTCTCCGGCTCCTGCCAGGTCCCACCGGCGTGGCCGATGACGGACAGCAGAGACCTTGACGATCAGCTCTCCCAACGCCCCGCGAAAGGAGCTGTGGACGCACCTGGGCGAACTGGTCCGAACCGGCCCAAACCTGGTCCGGATAAAACATCATCGCAGCCCGGGCAGGAGGACGTGACCTGGGGGGTCACGCTGCTCACGCCGGATCTCCGCACGCAGGGCGAACACGTGACCGGAAACACACCTGGCACTTCCTGTTCTCCGCCTTTGGCGAGACCATAGAGAGAGATACTTTCACCCTAGATCGGTCAGTCCGTCTGTCTTTTCCCAGAGCTGCTGAGCCGTTTCATTCAAGTTCTTGGGCTGTGGAGGTCCATTATTGGTTATTCCTCACTGCTGTGTAATTCACGAATGTATGCGTTTATTATTTATAATGATGGGAATGCATCCACTTATAGTTTTGATTTTTTTATTAATTTGAGTGATCACCATCCTTCCGAGCGACTTAAGGTTGTATTTGTAACGTAATGCCATCCACGCTCGCGTCATTAATCCGCGGTTGTTATATAAAGGTTTCCTATCTGAGACGGGGGCAGATGTTGTGTTGCTCGGTCCGATACAAAGCCATCGGCCCGCCGAAGCAGGTTTTCATTCTCAGTGCCTCGCAGGAACTCGTCCAAGATATTCTTGTTTTTTTTTTTCCCATCACTAAAAACAAGCACGATACTCAGAGCTAAGAGTCGACAGCTGTCATTCTTTGATTCAGCTTCAAAGTTAAAAGTTGTAATGTGGATTGTGAGGATCTGTATTGAGCCGAAGACTAGACGAGCTGTATCTATGACCTGATTTAAGAGTGCTTTCCCCCTGCACCTCGCCCGCCTCTCTCGCCGCGGCTCATGTTTCTCCGGTGCTGAAGTGCGATTCGTCACGAGCAACGTAATTGTGATCGAACAGCTGTTACTAAACCGGTCAATTGATGATGAACAGGCGCAGGTGGGACTGAAATTATATCAGACGGTGCCGTCATTTAAAAACTATAAATTAAAGCCCTAAATGAAACACTCTCTCCTGTGTGATCAGTGTCCAGTACAGTAGAGGAGTCCGGCTGTAGATTAAACACTCTCTCCTGTGTGATCAGTGTCCAGTACAGTAGATTAAACACTCTCTCCTGTGTGATCAGTGTCCAGCTGTAGATTAAACACTCTCTCCTGTGTGATCAGTGTCCAGTACAGTAGAGGAGTCCGGCTGTAGATTAAACACTCTCTCCTGTGTGATCAGTGTCCAGTAAAGACCTGACAACAACCTTGCTCAGATTCTGGCTGAAGCATCACTGTAATCCCTGTATGGAAGAGTCTGCTGCCATTTTTATTCCTTCACTCCGCCGGCACTTGTTCTACGTCGGCGATTCGAGTCCTGTCGGGAGCTACCCATGGAGACGGCCAGACATTCCTGCTCGTTAGCAGCCCCCGGGGAGCAACAGGCCGTAGTTGCCATGTTTGTCCACAAGGTGGCAGCGTGGCGCCATTAATCCGTCTTCCACCGAGTAGACCGTACAGGTGGCAATCCGTCTGGAGCTCGGGGCTGGAATTCAGCTCGGTCTTGACAAATATCTTAATTTTAAAACCCTGTGGCTCCGCATGGCAAAGAGGAGCCTGTGGAGAAGAGCATGAGCATTTCTGAGGGGTTTTATCTGTAGTTTAAATTGGACTGAAACACAGATCAGGGTAAGAGCACAGTAGAGCCCAGTGAGATCAGGGTAAAAGCACGGTACAGCGCAGTAAAGTCCAGTGCGATCAGGGTAAAAGCACAGTAAAGTCCAGTGCGATCAGGGTAAAAGCACAGTAAAGCCCAGTGAGATCAGGGTAAAAGCGCGGTACAGTACAGAAGAGCCCAGTGAGATCAGGGTAAAAGCACAGTACAGCGCAGTAAAGCCCAGTATGATCAGGGTAAAAGCACAGTCTAAAGGCCTGTGGTCACTGAGCCTGTCCTCACTGGTCAGTGTCCAGTGTCCGTGTCTGTGTCCAGTGTCTATGGCCAGGCTGTGGTCACTGACCCAGGTCTGCCAGTCCCACAGCTCCATCTCTCTGTCTGCCTCCTTGGGGGTGAATATCAGCCCCCTGGCCCCCCTGACCCCACCCCCCCACCCCCAGGTGGTGCAACCCGATCGGGGCGTCACCGTCAGAGGGCCAGGCCGGCTTTGATACGGGATACTGCATTGTGCCTGGAGAGAGGGGGGGCCGCCAGACACAGACAGCAGGGGGGGCCACGAGCTCGGGACACAGCCCCCTCCTGCCCACCGGCCCAGCCTGTTACTGCCCGAGCCCCGGGGGTCCGAGATCAAGGACTCAGACCTCAGGGCCTACAGCGGAGCTGGGCTCTGGAAGCCGGGTTCATCCCAAGCGTCTGCGTACATCGCCGGCGCCGGATCATCCCGAATACCTCGCACACCCGCGGATACCCCCACACACAGACCCCGAATCCGGGGAAGCGGTTACTCTTGTGCTTGAGGAGGACTCTGCAGTGGGCCCGCTCCCGTGTGAGGGCAGGATCCCCGTGCTCAGCGCAGTTTTGTTTCCAGGTGCTTTTTTGAAAAAGCTGCAGCTCTGTGGTCTCTCCCGACCTCAGGATTATCGGCCAGGCTGGGGATGTACAGTAGGAGTGCTCGCTGCAGTAAACCGCGGTCTCGCTGCAGTAAAACCG